TGCGCATGGGTGACTTTACTCACTTCTGACTTCATTGTCAGGGTAATCACATGTTGCCCTTTCTGCCAGAAATTCTTTCTCCCTCCCCCAAACCCAGTACCAGCCTCTGTGCCAGTAACAGTGGTCCTGGTACCCATCTGCACCCCTTCACTGCCCGAGGCTGGATGGGTTACCTGGCAGTGACTTTCATTCTTATAATTGCCCATGTTCACTTTTCTGTGAAGGCTGGGGCCTGGGTATTAATCACAGGGCCTGTACAGGCCTGGATCACAGTGGGTGCCCAGTACATGCTTGGTGGGTGGATTAATTAATTCTGAGTTTGGAATACCCTTCCCAACCAGAGAGGTATGCAGATGACCCTTCCTGAGGTTGGTTATTCTGTTTTTCCAGAGTTCTTTGAGGTTGCTCCAGATCCCTGCAGCCATTACCTGAGGGGAGCTAATCCCACTCCCAGGCTCACATCCCTGAATCCAAACAGGAAGGCACATGGGGTAGTGGAATGAATACAAGCTTTGGAGCTGGCCTGAGTGACTTCAGTTTTCTTAATTGTAAGATAAAGATAACACACCTACTTTTACTTTTACACTAGCTCTGAGGTCGGAAAGGAAGGCTGAGACTCTCCTTCCTCTTTTCAGGAGTCAGGGTTAGGTGTCCAGAAGTCCAGCTCCACCCAACGGCCCTTTCTTCGGAGCTGACATGCTTTGGCCCACTGCTAGCAGCGTTGGGTCATTCTGCTCCTGCTTACACTTGTCCATCACATGGTCTAGTTTTTTTGTCTAGTTTCTTGCCTTTTGCTAACAAGACATTTTACCTCCTGTGTCTTCAATCTGCCTGTTATACCGGTCAGCCAGCAACACATCTCCAGGGTCCCCTGTGAACAGAGACTACTGCGTCTTTGCGTCCCTGACACTTGACCTTAGTGACTTGCATGTGGCAGGTGCTTCAAGAAATGTTGATTGGATGAATGAACAGAAGATATGTTTCCAGATTCAGCTTAGCTGAGAGGGGCTGAGTGCTTTTGGCTCTCAGGGTGGTGGTGGTGGTAGTGGGGGAAGGGAGGAAGTTGTAAGAATTGGGCAGAGGGGGAAGGTAGACAGTTTATACTGAGTCTGCTAACTCTTTGGGGACTATAAAGGACTTCGGATCTCTGTATATTTGTCTGAGAGCTTTGGCCACATGTCCCCTGCAGCTTTTCCTGGTGCTAGAATGACTGACTTCGTGTCCTTGTGGCTAATGAGATGGAACAGCCAGATACTGGCCCCCAACTGATATTTGCCCTTTGCACTTTATTCTTGGAAGCTGGTTATTGCTCCCGGAGGGGTTTTCCCAAGAGTCATTGTAAGTTCATGGTGGGGAAACTTTTATTTCATGTTCCACATTCACAGCAACAAAGAAGCTGAAGTCAGAGCCTTGGGTTCTGTCTGATGTGGGGTCAGTGGGAACTTTGGAGCAAACTTCCATCAACAGTGAGGATGTAGAGTCCTGTGCTGGTTAATCCTCAAGGCTCTTCAGGGGTTCACCCTTGGTCTCTTCCTAATGTTCTCTTTCTCTCTGCCTCAGAAGAGCCTAGAGCAGAGGTTCTCAACCTGCGGGTCGCGACCCCTGTGGCGGGCACGACCCTTTAGTAGCAACATTACAGTTATGAAGTGGCAATGAAAATAATTTTATGGTTGGGTCACAACATGAGGAACTGTATTTAAAGGGCCAGAAGGTTGAGAACTACTGTCCTAGAGCAGTGGTCAGCAAGCTGCAGCTCTCGAGCCACATGCGGCTCTTTGAACCCTTGAGTGTGGCTCTTCCATAAAATACCACGTGCGGGCGCACACGTACAGTGCGATTAAAACTTCGTGGCCCATGCACAGAAGTCGGTATTTTGTGGAAGAGCCACACTCAAGGGGCCAGAGAGCCGCATGTGGCTCGCGAGCCGCAGTTTGCCGACCACTGGCCTAGAGGAAGTTGGGGAAGGAATCCCAACCCTGGCTGTACATTGAAATTACCTGGGAGGTTTAAAAAATACCCATGGTCCCTTCCTCGCCCTCCCTGTTCCCCCAACCAAAAAATCGGCACCACTGGGTAGAAGAGTGAGAACTGGCTTGGAGGATGTGAAATGAAGACGTAGAAAGTCGCTGCCAAGGAGAACTGATGGGGAGCTTGGGAAGAGAGCTTCTCAATTGTCACTGTGCTTTAGGATCACCTGGGGAGCTTAGAAAACATGCTGATGCCAGGGTTCCCCTCCAGTTTCTGAGCTCATTGCCTGGGTGGGGCCTGAGCTTGGACTTTGTTAAAGCTTGTCAAGGGAGGCCAATGTGCAGCCAGGATAGAGAAGCGCTGAGTTAAGTGAAGGGTTTAGTTCTGTATGTAATTACTTAAGGTAGCACACCTGAAGCAGGCAGGTCACCAACTTTCCCTGGGAACCCTGCCACACACCCTGCATCAGGACTCCTGAGGTGGAACCCAAAGCTGTAGGTTCACACTCCTCAGGGGATCCTCATGCTCACTCAGCCTTGGGGTCTTGTTTCTGAGGACCTAGGTGAACCCAGCTGAGCAAACCAGGAAGGACTAGCCAGCTGTGAGAAGGGAGCACAGGAGTGGTTTAATATGAGACCCTCCAGTACAGACTGCCTGCTTGCTCCCTCGGAGTGGAGCGGAGCCACTGCAACTAAAGTGCTGACTGAGCTCTAGGAGGCAGAGTAGGAGGCATCTGATTCAGTGACCCAGAGGCTCTCACCCATGGTGCCCGAGGAGGCGAAATGGTTCTCTAGCCAGAAAAGGTAAGAGTTTGAGGTCTGCTTTCTGAGAGTTATAAAAGCACCTACAAAGAATGGAAGAAATAACACCTCAAGGGAGCCAGGAAGGGAAAGGGAATTGTGAGGTGTAGAGAGTGTCCTGAACCAGCTTTAGGGAACACAAACAAAACAGGCAGTACAGAAAAGGAGGAGAAACTTACAATGTCTGGCTTTAGGCAACAGATCTGAGAGTTTTTCAGGGAATACAAATCTGATCCTCCCGTGGAAACAGCAGTGGTAGAGTATTCTGGAGACATAGGGTACTAGCAGGCCTGGGCATACCGGTAAAGGGGTGTGGCTGTCCCCTGAGCAATGTGACTCTGAGTATATGGCAGAGACGTGTTTTTTTTTAAAGATATATTTTTATGGCCCTAACCGGTTTGGCTCAGTGGATAGAGCATCAGCAACCTGGGCACGTGCCCTGATTGGGAATCGAACTGTAACCTCCTATGTCATAGGTTGATGCTCAACCACTGAGCCATGCCAGTCGGGCATGTGCGGTTTTTCTTGAACAACATATGATGAAAAGCTTATTCACACCAGTTAAGCCTACAGACCTCTATCCTGCCAATTCCTGTGGGATGAAGGGTGTCACTAGTCAGAAGACACCTGAGGTGTGTCATGTGACTTTGAAATTCAAGATGGTGAAGTGAGTGGCAGGTAGAATTTTCATCTCACTGTCAACTGAAGGCTGTGTATGTGAAGGAAAGGAAGGACAGAGAGCAGACTGCCTGATTGTAAATGCTAAAATACCAGAAAGGTGGACTCTGACAAGGGACAGAGTAGATTTCTTAGGGATTGGAAGAGATGTGTTTAATAAACTTTAAACTGAAATTTTAAAGGAAAGGAGAAAATGCACAGATTATAGTATAAATATGGGTATTTTCGAGGCTTTGAGGTATTATACAGAAAGGAGAATAAAGATGGAAAATTTGCTCAGTAATGCATTTGTAGAAAATAGGATAGAAGATGGGTAGTGATGTTTTAGACTCACATCTATAAACATTTAAGGCCAATAAACTTATTTGTTTCTTACTTTTAATGCAAGGTAGAAACAGTTTCATATTTGATTAGAATATGACATGAAAAAGTATATTTTATTAAAAAATGATGGATTTGCCAGAAGAGCTGAGACTAATGTGTGTATATCAAAGAGAGATGTGCTTGTACGAGGACCTGCTATAATAAGGGATGCCTACTCTCTGGGCAAGGTCAGGTTCTGATTCTTTTGATTGCAGTGAGAGGGAAATTTCACTACACTAACACACAGAGACCTGTCGAAGGATTTTACTTCCCCTGCGAATGTAATGAACAGTACCAGCCAGTTCTGCTTCCAGCTCTCCCTGAAGGTGTGTTTTTTCTTATGGAAGCTAAACGGAAGTTACAGATATGTGGCCCATCTCTTAGAAAGGCACAAAGACACCAGCCTCTGTTAATCCTATCTGCTTACATTGAGAAGAATTATTATATGGTGTTGTCAGAAGCTCTCAGGATCCACTTAGAGAATTATTTTGAAGGTCTCTCATAGCAATAGTGCATGGAAATAAATCCTCACCCTAAGGGAAGAAGCATGGTGAACAGAACAAGAGGATAAAAGCAAAAAGAGGTAGGAATGATGTAAGTGTGGACATAGACTGCACACTGTCAGATCAGAGGGAGACTACTTTGCTTTCTTACTAAAGATTATAAAGTTTGTACAAAAGGGAAAATATGGTAGTGATAGAAACCTCAAGTCCATGAGCATCTTTTGCTAAAGTTAATTGCATTCTATTAAAAGCAGTACCTCTATACATTTTTTAAAAATGGTTTATTACGGCTCTGGTTGGGTGACTCAGATGGTTGGGGCGTCCTCCTGTACACCAAAAAGGCTGCGGGTTCGATCCCCGGTTGGGTTTGTTTGGGAGGCAACCGATTGATATTTCTCTTTCACATTGATGTTTTCCTCCCTCCCTCCCTCCTACACTCCCACCCTCCCTCCCTTGCTCTCTAAAATCAATAAACATTTCATTGGATGAGGCTTTTTTTTTTTTGGATGAGGCTTTTTTAAAAAAAGATCTGAGACTTTTTTTGAAGGTTTATTATGGAAACTTTCAAACATATCCAAAAGTAGAGTGAACAATATGATGAACTCCCAGGGTTCATGAATGACAATCAACATTGTTTTATCTATACTCCAACTTCCCCAGCCTTACCCCACTAGATTTATTATTATTATTTGCTTTTTAAAACTGCTTTATTAACTTCACAGTATGTAATGAGCATCTTTCCATGCAATAAACTCCCCTGCTGACAGAAACTTACAAATTGGGTCAAAACACAACATGCAGGCGTAACCGGTTTGGCTCTGTGGATAGAGCTTCGGCCTGCGGACTGAAAGGCCCCAGGTTCGATTCCGGTCAAGGACATGTACCTTGGTTGCGGGCACATCCCCAGTAGGAGATGTGCAGGAGGCAGCTGATAAATGTTTCTCTCTCTCATCGATGTTTCTAACTCTCTATCTCTCTCCCTTCCTCTCTGTAAAAAATCAATAAAATATATTTAAAAAAACCCCCAGAAAAAACACAACATTCAGTTAGAAACTGGTAAAATGAGACCCACTGGAAACAAGCAACACCAAAAGGGTCACAATGAAGGTACGTCACGAACATGTAAGTTTAGGAAGCAGGTGTGTCTCCCTATTAACTTCAGGGAGAACATCAGGATTCAAGGCATTAAGGCAAAATTCATCATGATGGTCAATGGTCATGGTGTGGGGGTCAGTGCTAACTGCCTGCAGAATTTGACTTGACTGCTTTCCCTCATGTTTTCCATCAGCTGTCTCATCTCTTTCCAATCCTTTCCATATTCTTTTGTCTCACCCTTGCCTGTGGCTCTCCATGCCTCTGCCCCCATCCCATCTACACTGCAGGATGGGCTGCCCAGGAGGGAGCCACCCATGATTTTCTCCAGGCACACAATATTCACCAGCTTCCAAAGGGAACCCAAGGCTCTCCTTTATTAGCACCTTGCTCCTTTTCATCCTTTTTTTAAATTTTCCCATTTGGCATTTTCCATGTTAAAACATTTTTTTTAATTGCTTGTTCTCTTTGGACGCCCTTACTCTTGGGCCTATCCTCCTCTGAATCTTGCTGTGAGTGCTTGGCAGTGACAGTTGGACCCTCAGACCTGCTCTTCTTCACATCTGCCTCCTACTCTTAGGGTTCCCCTGGTCTGTGGGGCCTCAGGACACAGAGAATAGGAACCAAGAAGGATATGGTTTATCTCCGATTCTGACACACGCACTAGCAAGGTGCCACTGCACTAGATTATTTAAGGTAAATCCAAGACATCAAGCCATTGAACCTGTACTGGCTACAATATCAATCTCTAAAGCAGCCGTTCTCAACCTGTGGGTTGCAACCCCTTTGGCGGTCGAACGACCCTTTCACAGGGGTCGCCTAAGACCATCCTGCATATCAGATATTTA